CAGGGTGGAGGACATATTTGTTTCTTGACCAGGAAAATACAGATACTGTCTTCTTCCAGGGCGAAGGCTGGGCAGGTTTTCTAGCGGCCACCTTATAAAATTAGGAGTTCCTATGAAACCAAGCAGGACCCTGTGGGGCCCTCCTGGGTACCAAAGCCTTTCCGTGTCTTGTTTGCAGGAAAAAGGCTTTCAGTCTCCTAGACCTTCCCTGGGTTCCAAAGGGTGGATTCAAACGGTTACTAATTAGGCGAGTGAGGGAAGGCAGAAACAAAGTAAAGGCAGTCCAGAAACAACAGTGCAGCCATGGGGCAGGGTCCTGGTTCCTCCTCAAGTGATACACTTGACAATCTGATACATACCTTTGAGTTCTTCTGCAGGGAATAAGGCCCCCTCCCAGGTGGAGGATGGTAACTTCAGGCTGAGCATAAGCACGTGGACTCCAGACTGGCTGGAACCAGAGGCTGATTCCTGGAACATCATCCTGTTATCTCACCACCAACCAACCGGAGGAAGGTCACACACCCTGCAGCCCTCCCCTCGAAACTGTGGCTATACAAACTCATCTCAAAAAACCATGGGGGAGGGCTTCCCTGGTGGCACAGTGTCTAGAGTCCACCTGCTGATGCAGGAAACGCGGGTATGTGCCCCGGTCCTGGACGATCCCACGTGCCGCGGAGCGGCTGGGCCTGTGAGCCATGGCTGCTGAGCCTGTGCGTCCGGAGCCTGTGCTCTGCAACGGGAGAGGCCACAACCCATAATGGGGAAAACTACTAGAGAAAAAACATAGAGTAGTGGTTACTAAGGGCTAGTAATGAGTGGTTTTTTTTTGGGGGGGGTGATGAAAATGTTCTGGAATTAGAGATAGCGATGCTGGTTGCACAACCTTTGGAATAGCTGAATTATAAATAAATATACATAAATATATATGTACCCTAAATATCTATAGTTATATATGTTTATTTATTGTTTGTGTGTGTGTATATATAACATATATATATATATATATATATATACATATATATAAATGTGTATATATGTATATGTATATTCTGGGAGTAATAGATAACACCAGATTTTAAAACACACTATAAAGCCACAGTAATTCTTAAAAAATGGTACATGATAGATCAATAAGATAAAACAGAGTCCAAATGTATTACTGAATACACTCACACACACACAGTTCTTTTTTGTTTATGTGGAGACTATATCAAATGATTGCTAAAAGATGTTGTATTCAATAAACGTGTATAGACAACAGGCCAGTATTCAATCAGGGAAAAAAAAATTACAACTGCATCCCTACTTCATATATCATGACAAAATATATTCCAGATGAAATATTTTTTTTAACCAAACAAATAGTCTCATTTTTTAAATGCAGGTTTTGACTAATAAAAGAAAAAAATGGAGGAAATGGGTTTTGGACAAATTAAGAATTTCATAATAATAATAAAAAAAGTGCTGACAGGATCCATGGGTACATGGATTCACACCAGGTTTGCTCAAATGTGTGAGTGACAGAGCCTCAGTAACCATGAAGAGAACACCTGGGGCACTTGTAAACTCTCAAACGGACATAGGCTTTGAGGCTGGGAACTACACATTTTACCGAAGTGTAGTTGATTTACAAAGTTGTGTTAATTTCTGCTATACCCACAAAGTGATTCAGTTATATATATTCTTTTTTTTAATATTCTTTTCCATTATGGTTTATCATAGGATATTGAATATAGTTCTCTGTGCTATACAGTAAGACGTTGTTGTTTATCTCAGATGAAATAAATTTTTAAATGTAAAATATTAGTTGTTAAATTTGTAAGAAAGAGAATATTTTTTCTTTAATTCTAGTGAGAATACCTCTATACAGTAAACACACTAAAGTATACAATACAACAAATAATGAAATTTGACTATGTGAAAATTTTTTAAAAATCTGCATGACAGAAATGGTAGTTTATAATATTTTAGATGAATATTAATTTTAATATATAAAGAGCATTTATTAATCAAGAAAGTAGCAACCAGCTTTATAGGCAAAAGGATATTTGCATGTATCTCAAAGAAAAAAATAAGCTTTTAAACATATGGTAAAGTGCCTGGTCTATACAAATAATTAAAGAAATGGAAGTATAAACAACAATGTAATATTTCTACTCTTCATTTTAGCCAAAATAAAAATTTCTATTAATATTTGGTATTGATGAGGTTGTGGGAAAACAGGCATTTTATTGCCATATAGTGTTGATGTGTATGTAACTTATTACAATAACTTTGAAGTAATTTGACCTTATCTCTCAAAAAGAAAAAAATATTCATACCTGCTGACTCAGGGATACTGTCTCTAGAAAGACTCATACACTGTTGGCAAAGATGTTTGCAGACTATTCATGATAATATTGTCTGTAAGAGCAAACACCACTTAACTATCTATTGAGAGAGTGATTGCCCAATATATATGATGATATGGAAACATTTCCTGGGTAGATTCTCAAGCAAACAAAGACATTTGAAGGACACAATGTAGATTTTGATTTATTTGTATTTAAAAA